CACTGTGCCAAGGGAAGAGAACCTGGTGTGCATGGCGCTCAGCTGTGAGGCCATGATGCTGAGTTGCTCGCTGCTCTTCCGGCGAATAATTGGATTGGAAAAGAATAAATCATTATTATTTTTAACAGAGCCATTATCCTGTCCTCATCCTAAAGCTTCTGCTAACCTCTGGCAGCACAGCTCAGATCCACGCAGCGCCTCTGAACCCCAACCCGCTTTAAAATATTAATTCTCATGCAGAGCACGGGGTGTGAGGGCTCTCATAGTGATGGTGGTCCCATTTGGGAGGAAAATAAGTGTGTTATGATGTCCTCACAGTGATTTTTTTGCCTTTTTTTTTTTTTACCATTTTCTCAGTTAACATTAAAAAAAAACCATGCATCACAATGCAAAACGAGATCTGATTCTAATTATTTTTCTCTGGGAAAGAGAAGGGATGGGGATGGTTTTCAAGTGGGAGATTATACTATTAAAACATTAAGATGGTTCTTTCTGATTCCTTTTTTCATGAAGAATTGCTGACTAACATGAAAATACACCAGGAAGGGGTCACTTTGGATTGAAAAGGCATTGCTCTGTAGAGTGATAGCAGCAGTAAAATTGCAGTTGATGGCTTTCATAGATCCCATTGTGAACCCCAGTGGCAGCGGGTGGTGGACACGTCCCCATCCCACACCACATCAGGGTGCTCTGGCCATGATAAACCTGAGCATGGCACTGCCTGGTGATCCCTTTGCTTCCCAGCCCTGATCCTGCTGCCTGTGGCTCTGCCCTCACCTCCCTTCCTTCTGTTTTCCACCAGGAATAACATGGAACATACAAGGGTTAATGCACTCCCTTTCAAGATGCTTCCATGCTGAGCCCTTTTGGGATCCCATGTAGGCCACGTCCCTGACTTTGGTAGGGTGTGGACCAGCTCACCCTCCCTCCAAGCAATGCAGTCAGCAGTGCCCCATCGCGTTCTGCAGACAAATGCATTGCACCCACATGAGCAAAGCGATGGTGGGACCTCACCTTCCCCCAGCAGTGGCCATCAGCCCTCCTCTGTGTTTTCATCCTCCGTGTGCTCAGTGGATCCCATGCTCAGAGAACAGACCTGCCACCAAATGGTTTCAGTGGGTGAAGCATTTGCTGAAGCCTTAATGAAAATGCAGAAGCTCCAGATGAGTGTTTTAGTGAATAAATGCCGTTAATCGCATTTTCAAAGAGCTGTATGACTAAAATTAATACCTCCTTCCTCCATTTCTACTGGTGAATCCTCCCCAGGGATAGTTCCACTTCTCGACCATGGATGTACCTACGCCAGCCACAAACCTGGCTGGCTGGAGCACAGCCTGTCAGCATGAGTCCTTCCCAACCACAGCTCGATTCTCCTCGATGTCCAACCAACACACCACCAACCCCAAGGCGGGAGCCAGCGGGGCCACAGACACAACAAGCTCCTCTTCCAGCATCAACAAAGGAATTGTGCTGAGCTTCACTTGTGTGAACACCTGGAGGCTGTGAGACCTCTTGCCTTCCTTCAAAAACCATTTGTTGTTGCTCTGGAGCTGTTTTCCAAAATGACAGCACTGAAAGGTTTGAGTTGGTGTCTTTTGTACCTGTGACCAAAGAAAGGGGAGCTGAGATACCTGCAGGGCTGCAGCAAAGGGAGCCCCAGAACAATAGTGGGTCTCAGTCTGCAAAGTGTTTCTGGGGAAGGGGAGAGAACAGAGCATTGGAGAGTTCTGGTTATGATTCCCCCCTGTGATGACAGTGCAGTCACAGCTGAGAATTATTCATGGTATCCAAAATGATCGTTGATAAAAAGAAGAAAAAAAAGAAAGGAAACAGAAAGATGTAAGGCAGAGCAGCACCTTCTGCAAGCTCAAGGCTGGGCTGCCCCTGAACCACCTCCATGAGATGGTCCTGTTGTACTCCTGAAATGTTGCACCCAATGAACGTATGTGGCTGAGGCTTACAAACCTCATCTCCCTTTGCCATCAAGATCCCTGGACGGTCTCTGAGGCCTCGAAGTGAAGCCCTGGCAGCTGCTCCCCACCCGTCTGTGAGACTTTAGCCAACGTGGGCTACAGCTGTGATATGGGCAGAGAAAAAGGAACCTGAGCATTGCAGCAAAGACACTGGGCATCTCGTGCTCAAGCAAGATGAAGAAGCATAGAGGATGAGTGTAAATCCTTGTGCACAGAAGCTCTCTAACAGATGAGTGAAGCGCTGAACCACAGAATCATTATGGTTGGAAAAGACCTCTAAGACCACCAAGTGCAACCCCAACCCATCCCCACTAACCACGTCCCTCAGTGCCACATCCCACAGTTCTCCAGGGGCAGTGACCCCAGCACCTCCCTGGGCAGCCTCACCTCACATTTGGCAACTTCAATACAGTGTTCATAAAGAAACTCAAATTTCTGGTCCCCATTCTCAGCCAGAGCCCAGCTGGCACTTTGGACCCAAGCAGACAATTCTATCACTTCAGTCTTTCATTCACAATGCTTTAAAATTGCAGTGCCCAGCAGCCATAGCACATGCTGGTGAGCCGTCCTCAAGACAACTACAGACACGAAAGCAGTATACAGAGATCAGCTCCACCTACAAAACCAATCCATTACTGTAATTACATGGACCAGAAGCCCTACAAATGCATTGCATCATTAGCTGGTCGTGTGCCAAAGGTGAGGAGCTGGCCTGGACACAGCTCAGCAGCAATGATTCCACTCCGCATCACTTGTTATTCCCCCAAACCCCAAAGTTAAAACAGCACCTTTCCTTCACGCGTTCAGAACATACACCCTCACTCTCAAATGAGTAAGGAACAAAGCTTAAGAGGAAATAAAAATAAACAGGCTTGAATATAACTTGACATTAATAAAGCTTAAGAAAGGATTAGGCTAAGCTTGGGAAACACGCTTGGTTCCATTCAGCAGCTCCTTAGGCTTCCCTTCAGAGCACACTGAGGCTGCAGCAGCCCCATTTGGGTGTGGGGCAATGCACAGCAGTGAGAAACAGCCTGAAACTCAGCTCTCTTCATTCGCACTGCTGATGTCCTGTTACGTTTCATGTCAGCATCGAGGAGCTCCCAAGCCTTATTAGGTGCATCGCAACAGAGAGCAGCTGATGGGACAGTTCAAGGTCCCATGAAGAACAGCAGATCTTCAGCTCTTCAAAACAAGGACAAGTCAAACAGAACTGCTCAATATTTTGTAGGGCTGCAACTGCTTTGAATTGCAAGCACTGATAAATGAATAGAGCACCAGGGGACAGTCAAGTTGGGAATCAGGAAACATCTCTTCTCCAAAAGAGCGGTGATGCAGTGGCACAGCTGCCCAAGGAGTATTGGGGTCACTGTCCCTGGAGGTGTTCCAGAGCCATGGGGATGTGGCACTGAGGAATGTGGGCAGTGGGCATGGTGGGGTGGAGATCTGAGAGGACTTCTCCAGCCTTGAGGATTCTATGAGTAATGATGCTGGGCTTTATGCACTGATCACAGTGTGCCCCATCCATCACCTCCAAGCCCAGCTGGAAGAGAAAATTTCTTTCGAGAGTGAGGGATCTACAGTGAGCAGATCACCCTGAGCATCCACGGAGGGAGCAGGACTGGATGAAAACTCGCTGCTAAAATAGCAGCCCTAATCCAAGCACTAAAAGCCCTGATCCCAGTGGGCACCACGATTAGGGGCTTAATGGATAGCTGGCACCTCCCTCGCTCTCGTCATCAGTGCTTTGGGTGGGATTACAGGGCAGGAGGTGGATCTGTCACTGTGCTGCTGCAAGGACATGGGTGGGCCCATAGTGATGGAGGACACTGAGGATGGGTGGCTGCTCAGATTATCTCCTGGCTTTCTGTTTGGGGATTTACCACTGAGCACTTGGCAATTAGAGGCAGGAGCTAAGATTAGGACAGCCAGAGATCTTCCTGGTGCAGAACACAAAGGACGAGCTCTTTCCATGCTCTAAATATTCTCACCTGTGTGCAGAGACCACTCCCACAAGCAGTTGTGACACTACAGCCATGCAGATATCCACCTCCCACAGCATCCCTCAGTGCATCCTTACCCTTCCAGAGGAGGAAATCCAGGGTCACCATCCCTGGAGGTATTCCGGGGCCAGGGGAAGTGGCACACTGAGGGATGTGGGCAGTGGGCATGGTGGGGGTGGACTGGGATTGGGGATCCAAGAGGTCTTTTCCAAAGTTAACAGTTCTATGATTCTCCATAATGTACAGTCCCGTTCTTCTGTCTACAATCAGGAAAATAAAACATTTGGAGTTAAAAGGAACAGCAATCCTAGGTTTCTCACAACAGTAAAACAGGGAAACATTTCCTTGTGCCAGACAAACTATGGGACTTCAAACTAAGAAGCAGACACATTTCCAGCAGCTTTTCTTCTTCTGCCTACCTGTTTGTTAGTTAACAGACCTCGCTGCAGGTCTTCCACTGGTTTTTCTTTTCGTATGTGCACACACTCCTGAGACTCAGCATTCCACCTCCAGTCACTTCCATCACAGAATGGCTTGGGTTGGAAGGGACCCAAAGATCATGAAGCTCCAACCCCACTGCTGCATGCAGGGCCACCAACCTCCACATTTAACACCAGCCCAGGCTGCCCAGGGCTCCATCCAACCTGGCCTTGAACACCTTCAGGGATGGACGGGGCATCCACAGCCTCTCTGGGCAGCCTGTGCCAGAACCACCACTCTCATAGTAAAGAGCTTCCCCCGATATCCAACCATCTTCACTCTTCCCTTCCTATGCATGCTATGTGTAAGAGACATGCACAACTTGGGCTATTTTGTTCTTGGAACGTCCCAGCACTCACCCATCCCTGTACCACTGTGGCCACACAGACATGGCAGGTTTACAACAGGCACTGCCTCATCTCCCTTCTGCCCAACCCACCTCTACAAACACCCAGCTGTGGCAAGTCATCCATCTTCAGCTGCATTTCTGTACCCTGCTAAGGTCACTCATCAACACAGAATCTGACAAATATTAAAATATAAATTACAGGATTAAATAAGATTTTATTGTCACATTTAACTGCTTTGTCAGAGATGTACATTTTGCAGGTTTCTGTGCGGAATAAAAATAAAACCAGAGTTGCCATCTTGTCAATTCTCATCTCGACACACGCATGGACAGCCGAGCTGCAGGCGCTCACTGACAGCAGCAATGCACCCAGAACCAGTTCTGTTCAATGGACTGCAAATCCCAAAGACAAAATGCAACAGCTTAAGGCTAACAAGAATCGTGTAGAATAGTTAAAACAGACCACGAGATGCTGAATGGTGGAAGCACTCGAAGAGTGGCAGATTTCACATCTCGTTTTGCTTAATTTAGTACAGGTAAAGAGAGGCTAATGAGCAGAGCTTTTCCCACATACGTGCTGAAGTTTCAGTCTTTTGTAAATCTGATGCATTCCCACCTTCAGTGTGACTGCTTTGTTCTTCTAGGCATAAACCAAAAGTGGTTGCTCACATCTCAAAGTGATAAATGCTTACGATGTCCTCATCGTAAACTGTGTGTTTTCTCATTTACAGATCAGGGATTAAATCCAATAATACAAACGTTTTAGTGGCATAATTTCACATATTTTGGGCAACGTTAGTATACAAGCAGTAATTAAATAAAAATAAGTGCATCCAAACATGAAATTCTCTAAATACACCACACTTCATTTATCCCAAATGGCAATTTTCTGATGAGCTGCAGTTCAAATTAAAATAATCATTTACACATTTCATCCAGAGGAAAAGAGGTAATAAACCCAGGGGACTCTCCAAACAATCTTCTCCCACCCCATCCCCTATTTATTACATAAAATAACTCATCTAGAAGCGTAAATCCAATATTCAGATGCAAATAAAATGCAAGAAGCAGTCTCTGCTGTTTGCAATTTGCAGACTCCAAAGTCCAACCACGATGGAATTTACCACTTCCGTCAGTCATTTGCTCCTGTATGTGCACTTTGTATTCATACTAAAATAACAAACGAGACAATAAATGAGGCTAGTGTGGCATACAGTCATTGTAAACCCAGCAAAACCAGAAGAGTAATATTTATGACATTCATTCGGATGATTTATCAGCCATCCCACCCCCCAAAACCCTTTACAGAAAAGAAGGCAACCAACATTATAAGTGATAGACACATTCTGCTAGTAAAAATGTTGAAACAAACCCCTTCTCTGTTAAAAGAGCATGCCCATAGAAGGTAGACTACATCTGTTCCAGTCAGGCTTCTCAGAATTATCAACATCTCTTTGCTCGGAAAGGCCAATTTGGCTTATCACAGAAAGCTATTTTGAAGGCGGCCGATACATTTTTTTTTTTCCCTTTCAAAAATTAAAATTCAAGGCATGATAGTGCAAGAGGTAAGTTTTGATTTGAGAACATTACTTGTAGACTAACTGTGCTTAGTTACTACAACCCAATTTATTGTCTTAAAGAAAATACGGCAACAAAAGCTACAGGATTTCTATAAATTTCATTTTGCCTAAGTTTACCAGTACATCCATGAACCTCATCAGTATTAGTACAACTTGATTATCCTAATGATGATTCCATTACAAAACTTGCAAAATGTATCACGAGGTGAATAAACCATCTAGTGCAAGTCTTCTACATTGTGTGCACAGTAATCCTGTGTAGTTCATCTCCTCCAGGTTTAATCCCCAAGGTCTCTCTGTAACAACAATGAAAAACAGTGTCACATCCATTTTTTTTTCCCCCCTATCAAATCTGAGAAGTTTGAGTGTTCCTGGAGTCACCATCGGGATGTGCTGAAGGCCGTGAATCCCTCGTCTGTGAGTATTCACTGTCAGATGACTCTGTAGGTTCAAGCAAGTTTTCGTAATCACTGTCTTCTGACTCATCAACATTGTCACCAACCGCTCTTTGGGAAGATGGCATGGATGCTCCATTACCAGAATATTTCAATCCTGTGTTTGTTGAAACGTAACCAGAAGAACCAACTGCTTGAGGTCGAGGCATAAAAACACTGCTTTCCAGGAGACTGTGACTGACAGTACTTTCTTGACTGGCTGCACTGAAATCCGAATATGGAGGGGGAGGATCAGAGACGTCTGAATCTTCGAGCGTGCAGCCTTCCACTGCAAATCCAGTGTAGGACATTCGTGGAACAAACATAGGTTCCAAGTTATCTGCTGGCATTTGCCTACTTAAAATTGCTTGCTGCAATCCTAGAAGAAACAAAGCAAAAATGGTGTACTTAATGCTTTTGTGAAGTGCACTGCAAAGCCACCAATCTATAGCAGCATCCACCCAACCCTTACCCTGCTCACATTAAGATCCCCACAAACATAGCTGCATGAAGTTTCCATGACTTGATGCTGTTCCTTCTGTTTTCTGTTCTCTCACATCAAAAAGCAGCTATGCCAAGGCTCACTGTGCCTGCGACTCTTCAGTTCATGTGCCTTTAATAGTCAAAACAAGGCCAAAAGCCACAGATATGCCTTGCCTTCAAGGATTTCACAGTCTCAGCATTTCATAGTGAACAGAGAGAGTAACATGAGCAGTACTTGCATTCCAGCCTTGATGATGGAATGTAATCAGCACATGCTTATTAAGATTACAGATGGTACTATTGCTACTAATAGCCACCAGCATAACAGAGTATCAGAAAAGGAATTTCAAACTGATCCTAACAAATGAGGTGATTAGGAAAACAATTTATGGAAGGTGCACATAGGAATGATGAGCTGCACAAACTACACAATAAGGGACAGTTGCATCCTTCTGCAGAAAAGAAACTGAGGTTTGCTGCTGATGGAACAGGCATTACACGTGTGTTGTGTGTAATGATACAACTGGAATGCTGCAGCTAATTTTAGGCACTCCAGGGTGAGAAACATGGCACAATTGGAGAAACCCTGCAGAACAGAAAGATTTGCTCCTGGTCTGGATATCACAGCCTAAGAGGACAGACTGAAATAACTCAGATCGTTACACAAGACTGAGGAAACTGCTTAAGCCTTCAAACATACAAGGAGGGTATTATGGAAAGTTAATTAGAAGGCAGCTTAAGTTGATAGTATCGTACATTACACATGAGGAGAAACTCCTGTGCAGTAACACTTAAGTGCTGGGATAGACTTAAGTTTGACTGGTTTCTAACTGGTTATTAACCTCCAACCAACTGTCAGAACTGACACTCATGTATTTAAGGCTGTCTTGCAGCTAAGTGCTAGACTAAGTGCTATCAGCTCAACTGAGCATACACCTTGCTTCTGGAAAATGTAAAAATCAAAGCTGAATAGTTTCTGTAATCAAGCCAGCGACTCTCTCTTACCTAAATAAAAGGGCACATTTCCCTCAAGTGTCCGAGGAAGGAGCTAAATAACAGAACTGCAGTTTCAGTCTCCAATATGAGAACTATGGTGGGGGACTTTCTGGCATTTGGAAAGTGCACAGCCTACACTCCAGAACACTAACAAAATCATTTCAGTGATCTGTCACAAAGTCTCAGCTGACTTTATGCTCTAGTGATAGAGCAATAATCCATTACCCAAACATTCTCAAGAAAAGCAGGCTTTCACACGATACCATCACAGGAATCTGAATCAGATGCTCCTTTATCTTCCAGCCCAGAGACTGATTAGCTGGAACAACTCACTCACAAAAACCAAGGAAATTCTCCCAATATTGAGGGAGTGGGAGAACAGAAGGCCAGCTTCACTATTTAGCTACTTGCATCTAAAAATATTAGAGATACAAGCTGCGTGTTTTCTTGTTTCAGCTCCCTCTGGCATCGATTCTCAGTCCAGCACTTCCATCTCTCTGGTAGTATCTGGAGACTAACACTGACTGCTCTTCCTCCTCCGCTCCCAGCTTCTGCCATATGGGCTGAGATCAGCTCCAGCCTCACTAAAGAACCAGCTCTGCCTCTCCCTGGCTTGTGAAGCAGCAGATCCCTGACTGTTTCATCACCAGCCAAGCAGGAAGCAACAGTGACTCATGCTGCTTATGCCTTGCAGATAGGCTGTGACCTGTGCTGGTTCTTCACCTCACCTGTGAGGTTCAGGGAAGGAGGAACCTGACAGAAGGCTGAAGTTTGATCTAAACTACTAACATGGTAACAGTACCTCCCAGCCTGGAGAAAAAAGCATCACATCAGAGCAAGAGTGGCCTGTTGCACAGGTGGGGTTATTAACCAACACAAGCTGTCTGTCAACCTCAGACACAGATACAAAAACAATTAAAAAAATGTAGCTAAAAATACAAAAATTGAGTATTCCAAAACATGGGAAGACAGAGGAAGTGTTTGCTAAAATATACAGGTTGCTCATAAGTTTATTTTTAAATATCACTTCCCATTTGCCTATTCTCTGCCTCTATTTCAACAGAAATTTCTCCAGTGCCTAGATGGGTTTTTCTACTCATGGCTTTACTCTTTTTTCCTTTCCTACAACTGATCTTTCCCTGTGTTACTTCGAGAATTAATTCTCCCACTCTTCCCCTACAGTTCCACCTCTCCCCTTTATTTCCAGCATGCTAACACTGGTTGACTCCTTAGAAACACTTGCAGCACGTACACTTCCAAAGTGCAGGTACCATCCAGCCCAGTGTGGAATATTTTTTCCTTTTGCTATGAGCTATCAGGAATGAAACTCAAAACAATTCCACAAAACATTCTGCCTTTGCAGTATCTTGTTCTGAAACAATGGAATTAAAAGGTACTTACTTATTTTTTGTTCTTTTTCATTTTTCCTTTGTGCAATTTGCCTTTTTAACTTGTTCACATCAGCTTGAAAAGATTCAACCACACGTTCACTTTTTTCTACATCTATACATACTGCCTAGGAGGAAAACATCAGATATGCTCAGACTTTGCAACAAATACAGGAAAGATTCCCAGAACAACATTAACAAATCCAATGCCACAGAAGAAGCCATTAAAAACACAAAGCTAAGGGCAGGAATTTGCTATTTCAGTGCATTTTTTTTCACTGGCTGTTGTGAATTCACAACTGCTGCATGAGAGAAAAAAAACACTCCCAAATCATTCCTCAGTTTAAGGAAGATGGCCATAATGAGAATCAAAATAGTTTTCCCTACTTGGTGAAAGAGACTTTTTTTTTCCTGTTTGAACTCAAAGAGTCTACAGTTACCTTAAGGCACTGCCATCAGCACAATAATGATACTATGGCAGCATGATTACAAAACCTAGCATGAAGGTGCATGCTTTTCATAGCAGGCCAAATTTAAACCAGAGTGTGAAACAGCTGTGTCAACAAACAACTGCCCTGAGCTCATCTCCCAGCTGATAACACTTAAATAAGCAAAGCCCAGCGTTTTTCAGCAATGTTTCCTTATTCTGGTTAAGAAACAAATGGGAAATTTTAGGTAGACCTTCATTTATAAACAGTGCTGCATTACATGGGTCTCCTTTTTAATCCAAGCATGTTACAGTGGATTTTGCTTCCATCTTCAGACAATAAATACTGCTCATCATCAGTAAACACAGCCAGTTTTGAAGAGTACACAACTCTAAAAGCAAAGATGAATCTTGAACAGTAAGTCATCAGCAATTTACTGCTGCTTCTTCAAAGGGTCGCAACCAATGATCTCACCTCCAGCTGGAATTGAAGAACATGAGCTCTGCTTTCAGTGCTGCATCTAATTCTTAAAGACCACAGCACAAAAAAAGGCACCACACACAAAACTAATTGGTGAATAATGCAAACACAGGCACCTCAGCTGCTTTAGCAGAAAACTTGTAAGGTTCTCTGTGAAACACCTACTTGAAAGGTCAAAGTTCCTCAAGTCAGCTAACACCCAAGTTCTCTCTCAGCTCCGTAACGACGTACAGCAGCAGGATGGGCATGGTAAAATACAACCAAGCCATATCTAAACAAGTAAAAGGAGCACTTCCTGATGATACCACAGGGCAAATGTGAAGGGAAAGCCTGGAAATTAACTGTGACTCCATCACAATGAGCAGATGTGTGCACTCCTGAGGCAGCACAGCTACAGGCTGCGAGCTGACAAGCTTGCATCTAGCAGGTTTGATAGACGAGGAGCTTTCAGATGCTCTGCTACATTTGGAGCAGGATGCACTCGAGTTCTACACAAAACATTCACAAGTTTTAACTAGCAGATGGAGCTCTGTGCTGCACACTACAAACCAAGAGCCAGGAATCAATTTTAAACTCACAAAGGCAAATCCCCACAGCCTTCAGGAAAGCTTTTCTTCAAGATGCACTCTTAAAAATAGCTATCATCTCCCAGAAATCACTGAGCAACAAGTCACATTTACTTGCAAAAGACAAAGAATCAATGGCATTCATATAAATCATTTTTTTTCAGAGGTCACTGTCAAGTCCCACTATTGAAGTCAAACATTTTTGCACAGTTTATGAGAAATCATTTATGAGCTCTAAATAACTCCTGTGCTCTTGCTTTAATTAAAGGATGAAGAAAAGATGCCACGCATACACCGACCAACAGTAAATAAAGGAAGTTACCTGCACTTTTTCCTGAAGTGCATTATAAACCTGATAGATAGCCCTGATGTCCTTCATCACTCCATCTTTGTCAAAAAAATCAGTACTACAAAAGGAAGCAGAGATCATCAGTTAAAGAAGACAACACAAGTTCCTACCTCACGCCCTCTGAGTTGCTGTTAAGCAGACAATTGCTGTATTTCTAAAATATATTTTCTTTTATACTGCTAAAAAAGTACTAAGCTCTAAAGAACCAAAATTTGAACAGCAGAACATTTGATATCAAAGCTCCTTCTGGAACAATGAAGTTCCATGTTTATTCAGATCAAACATATGCAGAAAACTCTAAGCTTGTATAATTTCATTGTCAGCAGTTATAAGAGCTTTTTTATATTAACAAAATTTAAATAAAATGACTAAAACCAGCAATAACAAAAACTTCAAACACTCCAAATAAGTGTTCTGGTTTTAAAACAAGCCTGCATAGAGAACTGCTTGAGAAAAAAATAAATAACAAAATAATCCTCCAGCCAGAAGGCCTACAGAACTGACTGCCCATAGCAAGTCTGCTTTTCCACTTAGCACATTGAGTTACAACTGTTCCTGTCAAAGATTTCATTCTAAGCAGAAAAAGCACAGTAGGAACCAACTGCTCATTCTCCTCCAGAACTGTTTTTTTTGCAGCTTGAAGTGCATATCCTCACTATTTTGGGGAAGGTACAGAAGGCAGAGCTTGGGATCACCTTACCCGTATTCCTTAATAACTTTGGCATAATTCTGAGACGTATTTGGCACTGAAGACACTTTGTACTCCTGTTGACTAGTGTTGCCTAGATTAGGAATAGCAAGGGACACTCTTTGATTATACCTGTAGAGAAAGTTTAGAAAGAGTTCTTAATTACTGTTCGAGAAATTATTTACAACAGTCTTGATGCTATTCTGTCTCTTTGATGATCACACCTTGTCTCATTTTCAAGCTTCTTATTATAAAAACTGTTAAATATTAGAGGTTGTGTTTAAATGCATGATCAAAAATCCCCTGGAGATGGACGTACCTCTGTAGCTCTAACAGCCATTGTGCCAGAGGCATGAGGGTGAACCTGCATTCATGTCTCTTACAAGGAATATGGTATCAACATCCCATTTCTCTTCAAATATACTGGTTTTGTTGTTTGAGTATTTGAAAACTGAGAAGAACTCTCACTCACCCCAGTACTGACTCATCACTCAGTTACTTGCATAGGGTGGTGGTGGGTGAAAAGCCATAATCACTCACAACTGTATACCAAGGTAACACTTGATAAACAGAAAACCCTCTGCATAATTGTGCCAACTTCTTTATAGTGTAAACTATTCTGAATAGCAATAAGAAACAGAACAAAAACCAAGGATTGGCTCATCGTGGAGATAGCTTACCTTCGGTTTGGTCTAAAAAGCACATATTCTAAAGCATGTGTTGAGTTATTTGCAGTGGAAATGAAGCTGAAGAGAAGGAAGACGAGATCAGGCACTCCAAGAATGTGGGTCAGCTGTTTATGGATGATGTGCTCTCTGTAGGACATTTGCTGCTGAGTGTTTCTCCTAAATCTGTACCATCCAATAACGTTCTGTAATCAAATGCATCAAAAAAAAATTGAGAGATACAGATGTATTGACTGATCATAAGGTTCCCCTAACCTTGATATTTTAATTAGCCAGTTCTTGCAACAGCTTTGCCTGACTGAATTACCAGAGGTTTGCACCTATTAAATAGTCCCAGAAATGGACACATCCTGCTGCACACAACTACTAACTGCTCAGCCTGCTACAAATGCTCACATGCCCTCAGTGGCATTTAGGAGCCCACTTTCATTAGTTTCCAATTCCGTTGTTTACTTCTAATAACAAATCTTGGAGCACCTTCAAATTAATCAGACCTGAGCAGTTTTCAAACACAGCAGATGTATTCACTTTTTTTTTTTTTAGCCTAAACATTTCAACTGCCTATTCACTCGTATTGATTTGCAAGACACATTTCCAGTGCTATGCAAACATATGTGCAAATACTTTGCCTGCTCGTGAGACGTATGGGACTAATCTGCTGTACACAGCCATAAAATTGTGTATTTAATTGTGATAAGGCTCATATGCACAGCAGATATTGTAATTCAATGATTATTTTGAACACAACGTATTAAAATTATTTAGTGTAAATGGGCAATTAAATTAAGGCAATAATGACAAAGTATGCATCATTAAGAATCCCAAGAATAGGCACTATCACACAGTGACACATTAAGATTGTGTACATTTATTGGAATAGAGCAGAATTAATGTATCTAACAATATGACACTCACTGTCATAATGAAGCACTGTTTTTGACCTCTTACAGTAAAATCTATACAATCACACAGTCTGATGTAGTAAGTTATTTTGTTAGCAGCATAGAACACAAAACTATCTTAGTTCCAGGACAGCACTGCTGCTTTTCTTTTTTGACTACAACAATTAATGCCATCAGATCTAAAGTACTTTAATCACATGTATGTAACCACGTATGTTCTTTGTGTGTGTTTAAGTGTAAATAGGTAAGTACACACAAGAGTTTATTCTGACAGCATTTGCTGGAAGATAAAAACCATCACAATGATTTACATTGCAACTGTTGCACAGATTTTGGACTTGCTTCCCTAAAGATCCATCCTCAGCAGAACTGCCTGTAAGCAGAAATTGGCAGTTCAGGTTGGCAAGGTGATCAGAGAATAAAGACTGCAGTTTACTGATGATAACTTCACCCTTGCTGAGAAGCAGAGTAGATCCCAGAAGCCTAGCACACCATCCTTCACCGTTAGTTCTGTGATCACAGGGATGCAGTCTGCAGCTCTACAAGCAGCTGGGATAACACTGGTTTGCTGCTGGTTTGTAACAAGAAATATAACAACAGAAAACAAAGCCTTTTATCTGTCACTCCCACCCTGTATTAACTCTACTGCTATCCAGATGTTGTGAGCCCATCTCCTTTATGAACTAACAATGTCCTCATGATGACAGAAAGCTACAACAGCAGGCATGCAACTACTTCTGACAAGATCCCCAGCTTAAAAGTGGCAGTGCAACATTTGCCTTTACAAGGCTATAGCATGACTTTTTTTTTAAAAAAAACAACTTTTTAAAATGAACTTTTTGGAACAGATTTTCAGACAAGAGACACTTTTGGTTGGCTTCAGCAGCAGAGTACACAATGGTTATGCTACACATTCAGCTCAGAAACTAGATGGTCCATTAATACCAGCCCTTCATTTCTGGAGATGTAAACTCCAATTCTTCACTCTTCTTCAGGGAATTTAGTTTAACGTAAGTACCAGGAACCCACTAAGTTGTGTACAGGATAACCCTTGTTCAGAACATCAGACCAGATTTGTTAAAGGGAACTATTTCTTCTAGTTAGCTGTCTTTTCAAAACCATTCTGATTATGTGCTCTTACATCTAGAACAGAGGAAAAGAGACAACTTACTTTTCTTCGATCCTTAAGAATCCTGTCCAAACTCTCCTCATTAACCTTGCCTGCATAGTCATAAAAGCTTGAACCAGAAAAGAAAAAATGTAGGCACTTAGTTTACACACACACAATACATAAAGTACTTTAGACTCTTCAAATAGATGGCATTCTATAAATTAGAAATCAACCTCTGCAATTTTATCCTTATCACAACAGGTCAGTATTCACACCACCTACTTAAGAGATACAACTTGAGTGCTATTTAGCAGACAAAACCAGAAGCCTGGGGTGACTGCATAGCTAATAATACAGCAGCAGTCACTCACAGAGGAGGATGCAGAGCACTGAGGTGAGACGTATAAGGTGCAAGCAGTCTGTTTTTAAAAACTGGTAACAAAATATAACATGCCCCAAATGCTTTCACTGCAGGTGTTAGTTTGATGACCAGTATTTCGCTGGCAGTCCCTACAGCAGAGGAAACATACAGAAACAGACTGTGGAACTGTATTTTGACAAGCCTACCTGCCAGAGAAGTAAGGGAAGCAGGGCCAACTGACATGCAGCTACAAATCACTTTCCTGAGCTCCAGTCCTGCAATTAAGCTCACATGAACAGACCCCTGAAGCCAGTTCACAGTTACACTGGGGTCAGCAACAATCTCAAGTACTATGGTCTTCCCACATGGCTCTGCTTACAGAACAGAGGCCCAAATCCTAGCAAGTTGTTACTCAGAGGACACGACATACTTAAGAATTTATAAAGCTATCCACACAGATAGGGTTATAAATTCAAATGGATCACACTTCATAACAGAAGCAAAAACATTTGAAAATAGATTCCTCCTTGACTTACCTGCCAAGTCCTCAGGCTCTTTCAAGAGCTGATATCACTAACACCTAAAGCAGTGCAGGAAAACACTCTGTTTTAGAGGTCTATGATCTCAACTCTTGTTTATGTAGGGGAAAAAAAACCAAAACAAAAAATTCTGAGCTCAGTACTTGGCTGGTAAATAAGGGTGGAAATAAGATTTGGTTTAATACACAAGTTATTTTGAATATTAAAGCTACAATTACTGATTTCAGATACAGTATCCGCATAATCTTTTCAATTCATTCTCATAACCTTTGTACATTCTTGTAAGGATTGAATATCTAATTCTTTCTTCACAACTTGTAATTCTCTCATGGGATGAGCAACCACAACTTCACAGAACACCCTAATTTGAGAACTGCACAGGTGGAGATATCAGGCCTTTTAAAACCTTTACTTCTTATTCAGTTCCTGCTCCTTGCTAAGTGCACTGGGGCCAAGCTCATGACGTTCATCAGCAATGCAAGAATACAGAGCAGATGAGCCACAGGACTCCTTAGCCTGGCTGCATTTAAATCAAATGGATAAGGCAGAATGCCCCCACACAGCAGCTGCTGCAACTAAAGGAACAACTGGCATCTTGCTCTGCTACTGATAAAGATTACCTGAACTTTGCATGATTCCCCTATGCTCTGAAGATAATACATCCATCCTTGCTCATGTGCAGAAATCATGCAGTGAAATGCAGACTTCCTCCCCTTCTTTCATCACCTCAGAAACTAACAACACATTTCTTGACTGGGGAAAGATGGTAAACGTGATCGGTTTTGAGATGTGCTGCACAAAGCACCAAAGGGAATCAGGAAGGGCCCACCAGACACTGGGACATTATCTCAGTGCGTGGAGCCTCCAGCATATAAATCACTAGGATAAGAGCACCCTTCTGTAATTATCAGATAGCAGATGATAGACTGCAGCTTTTCTCTCTAATGTAACTAATGTCAGTCACAGTATCTAAGGTACTGCATCTTCTTAATTGGCTGGAAATCTCTAAATAAAGATGAGAAGAAATTAATTGGGAATTCCTTCTGAAAAAAGATTTCTAGGGAGCAATTTAGAAGCCAGCGCTGTATAACAAATGAAGACTATACAGAAAAGCTACACGTAATAGATTAAAGCTGCTAAAGGGAACATCAGACCTATATTTAATTTTAATTCTGGAGTGCAGAAGATCAGAAGGCAAAAAGAGCCAGCAAGCTGAAAGCTTTGCAGTAATTAGTCAGTGCACATCAGTACAACTAACTACAGAACTTGTTAACCCAGCAGGTTTATAAGGTACTGCAACCCAGGAGGCCTAAGCAGAGCTAGTCTAGGACTATGATAAATTAAATTGGTTTTGACATTCACCTTAATTATCAGTAACATGGCTTAATCTGACCTGCATCCTCCTCCACTACATAGGTGGCAATTTGAAGAGGCAGAAAAAGCAGCCTGGTTACCTCAGCACTCTTTCTAAACTAAGACTTTATAGTAAGGCAGTAAAACTGAACACATGCTCCCATTGCCATGGTACAATTTACATGCATTTCTGTACCATCACCAGGTGAGGAAACAACACAAACATTGCAAGGTACAGCTGAAATGCTGCTACATTTCAGTGAGCTATTTTGTTTTATATTTCTCAGCCAAAACCAGAAGAAAACAGAAAAAGCTTACCTAAAGAGTTTTGAACATGGCTCATGGTTGTGGATTTCTGCAATAAAAAGAGAGACATATGTCCAATTGCTCAAGATAAAGAGGCGTTACAGTGGCATATCTTGCATAACCTTTCCATATCACGCCTGTTGAGCAAACAAACTTCTGTATCAGACCACACAATGTCCTTTCGTGTCTCAGCAACTCTTGATGACACAGCATCATACCCTGAAAGCAGCTTCTCTTTCTTATCTTCCATTTCATAGAGGAAAATACTTGAGCAAATCACAAGACACGCACTAGCTCTGATATATACAGGTATACCCTACTCTCAGATATGTTATTTTACAGTTGTGATCTCTTCAAAAAAGCATTTATGATTATTTCCTCTTTAAAAGCCTTTCCACGTTTTACTTGCATTAATATTCACTGCTGCTTTAATAAACAGTGTTGAAGAAGAGGGATAGGGGAGAAAAATCACTGACGCTTTAGACATGGGAATATTTAACCTGGCAAGACAACTGGAATCTATTATGAGAAAAGGTGTTAAACAGCACTCCTTAATGATGAGCTGCATTTTCATTTTACACAACAGAATTATAAATTCTTAATAAGTTGCACAGACATTTTTCACTGATGGGTTACTAATAAATGCTAAGATGCCCATTTAAGCAAAGACTGTAGCATGTCAGTAGTCACAGAGAGGAAATAAAGCAAAAACCCAAACCATTCAGCTTCCTCTAATACCAAGCACGACTTCCTTTCCGTGGCATTCAGTACTTCTGTCCAGTTCTCCTCTACTCAGACTCCTCAGATACAGCCTGTCACTTAATCATATTATCATGCTTTCATCACATAACTTTTGTCTGAAACCAAATGCTGCTCAGTCTGAGCAAATATACGCGGCAACACTATTTCACATCCTATATCAGAATGCTGCTGGAGTGTTCAGCAACATCTCTGTTTAGAGCCTTCCTTCCTGCGTGACTCACTGCTGTTCTGACAGCCATGATGACAACCTCAGCAGAATCACAGGCAGGCCACAGTTCCCAACAACAGACTGCACACATTGGCATCGCAGCACATTCAGCCAGCATCCCAACAAGGCTCCAAACATCAATGGCACACACACTGCCTGAGAAGCATCACTATCACCAGCAAGAAGAATTTGTTGTGCTGCTGTTTGACTTTGAAACAGCTCCAAACACAGAAAGCCATGTCAGCCTCATGTTTTCATTCTGGCACACGGGAATCTGTGGGAATGATCTGCTAAACAAGGCCAGAAAATTTAATTATTCCAGCTCATACTAACGCCTTCCAGCAAATCTATTGACTATGACTGCTGAGAATACATTACTTGATTCTTGCGTTACTGCATCACTACACAAATGTGTGAAGCTACCATCATGCTGAGTTTTACACATTGACTTATTTTACATAAACATATAGATTATCCTTACAACATACGCACTTAAACACACACACAGTGCCACTAAGCTTTGAGATAACAGACACAAAAGTGCTGAAGTTCATCTGTGAGAACTGTAACATAACCAACCGTCAATTGCATTTTAACTTCTAAACTCTCTGGTCAACTTGTAAGGCTGATGGATAAAGGCTGAAGTGAAAATTTGGTCAACAAAAAGTATCCAGAATATAAAGCACTTGATTTATGAAATCAGACTAGGGTGCAGCTGATTAGTGACATTACTGCATTGCATCAGGAACTACAACTAGATAGCACTGAGCAGCCACGTTGAGTTTTGTCTGAACAACAGACATCAGCTGCTTTCCTTGCTACAATACTTTGTGTTGTTATATACACACAAGATCTATCCCTTTATTTTCTGTAATTTATCTCACAGATTAGTACAGGTCACACAAGTCAATTTATCACTTATTTTTCCAAACCAGGAATCTACTCAACTTTCCAGATCCACACGTACACAACCAGCCCTACTTCAAGGCTGCAAGTATCTTCAGATGTACCATAATATAGCACGTACTTCCAGAGACCATTAGTTCTGAAAATATCATTTGTGAGATGACTGGAAGATGTCTGTGTAATAGCTAAGCTTTTTAAAGATCCTGGTAAGTCATCTACAGTCCATTCCACAAAGTCAAGTACGTGCACATTTGGGTTCGTACAGATGTAGATATATTTTAACACAAAGTTATATGTATGCATACAAAAAGAGATTTGCTCTTAAGGACTCCCTGATTTCTTTAAACTGCAGAGTTGGAAACCTGTGATAGCTCCTCACTCAGGACTTTAACCAAAAGATATTCTGCTACCAACGTTTCAGTTTTCATAACAATAAATCATCAATACATACTAGCTCTTCTTGTCACTGAAATAAACCACTTGGCAAATATCCTTGACAAATAATGTCACAAGACCTTACAGTGCTACCATCTACCAGCCTCTGATCCAAACCCTCTTCTCTCAGAATTTCTCAAAGCTCTGTTACTTACCAATTACCTGTAGAAATTCTGTGTTGCTGATCTGGGAGTCACTGATGCTAAAGGTCTCTTCTTGTCTTACCTCTCCTAGCAGAAACCCTTCCTGCAATTTCAAGGGAAACAAACAAAAGACTAAAAATAGGGGAAAAAACCCCACAACATGCAGTAATTTATTGTAACTTTCTTAGTATTAAATGGATGGCTAAATACAAAGTTATTGTTTGAAATAAGCACGTGGGCTGTTGTAGGTATAATCTTACATTTACTAGGGTTGATATCTTAATAACAACACTGTAGCAATGAGCCACCCCATTACAACATGGGGATTTTGTGACCAAAAACACCCATTGTAGTGAAGTGAATGCACCCTCCCTGGAAACATTCAAGGCCAGGCTGGATGGAACTGAGAGCAACCTGGTCTAGAGATAGGTGTCCCTGCCTATAGAGTCACAGAAAGATCATAGAATGGGCTAGGTTGCAAAGGACCACAATGCTCATCCAGTTCCAACCCCTGCTATGTGCAGGGTCGCCAACCAGCAGACCAGGCTGCCCAGAGCCACATCCAGCCTGGCCTTGAATGCCTGCAGGGATGGGGCATCCACAGCCTCCTTGGGCAACCTGTTCCAGCGCGTCACCACCCTCTGAGTGAAAAACTTCCTCCTAATATCCAACCTAAACCTCCCCTGTCTCAGTTTAAAACCATTCCCCCTCCTATCTCTATCCATCCTCACAAACAGCCGTTCCCCTTCCTGTTTATACGCTCCCTTCAAGTACTGGAAGGCCACAATGAGGTTTCTCCGGAGCCTTCTCCTCTCCAAGCGAAACAATCCCAGTTCCCTCAACCTTTCCTATAACAGGGGGTTGGAGCTAGATGATCTTAAAGATCCCTTCCAAAGCCATTTTATGAGGCCATGATTCCCTAAGCAGTACAGCGCTCACGCAGGGAAAGCACACACTTGACGGACAGGCACTGCCTCTAGTCCCAGCCCCATGGGAACACAGCAGGCAGGGAGCAGCCCTAAGAACACCACAGGCGGTCCAGACAGCAGAGTTCTCATCTACAGAGTCTGGAACAGAGGGATTTAGGAGCACCGCTCCTGCGGCTCTGAGAAAACACCGCTGTGCCCGCAGCCCCCACACACGCTGCCCACTGAGCGGGAGCCCCGGACCCAGTTGCAGCCCCACACCCACCCGGACCCCCCCAATCTCCCAGCCGGGCCGCAGCGGCCGCTCAACGCGCCCCGCGGGCGAAGGGCCGCTCCTCAGAGCCCAGCGGGGGCCGCTGCAGCCGGCCGTTACCCCCCAAGCGGGCCGAGCCCTGCGGGCCCAGAGCCGCCGAGCCTCAAAGAGGCGGCTCCGAGCACCTACGTGGTCGGCGCTGCTGTTGGCGCTGAAGTAGCAGACGGAACTGAACGTGTAGCCCGAGATGGAAGCCGCCATGATGGAGACCGCTGCCGCCGCCGCCAACGCTCCCACAAGGCAGCGCGCGTCCCACGCCCTCCCACTTCCGGCGGAGCGCGGGAGCTGCTGGGAGATGTAGTCCGACAGCGCGCAGGCTGGCCGGGGAGTCATGGCGTCCTTCGAGGTCATCCAATGCATCCGCACCAGCGCCAGACCGTGTCTGTAAGCACCACAGCTACCAGATATCCTGGTCACTCCAGCATCTCCAGCTGTCTGGCCGTCCCTGCCACGATGAGGATTCTTCCTGAGGTCTGAGCCTCGCCTGAGTCAGCACAAAAGCAGTGCGATTGTGATGGTTTATAAGTAATGTGGTGTGGTCGCAGATGAAATGGATTCTCTTTTCCCATCTGGGACACACAGTGTTGCTTATGGAGCTGTTCAAGACCAGTTTTGCATGGGGCCCTGGGCAGCCTGGTCTAATATTAGATATGAAGATTGGTGGCCCTGCCTGTTGCAGGGGGTTGGAGTTTCGTGATCCTTGGGGTCCCTTCCAACCCAAGCCATTCTCTGATTCTTTGATTCTATGATTCTATGGTAGTTGTGTGTAAGTCAGATTCTCTATTCAAGAGACATCAAAGCAACAGCACAAATCTTTAATAAAGATTGCCTGGACTTTGGGCAGTCCTCAGGAGTTAAATGATGAGAATCTGTCCCCTTGGAGCTGAGCTGCTCCTTACAAGCACGCTATCCATCGCTTTCAGTGAAACACTTTGGTATGGTGATAAATCGTGAGCCAGAAGGAGAATGAAATGTTGGCTTTGGAAGTGCTTGGGCAAAGGACACAACAGTGGGGCAGATCTGAGCAGCACCCTGCTGCAACCCCCTAAATTTCAGCGCTAGGAAGCAGTGTTTTCGTCCAAGGAAAAGCCTGGCTCCAGGGGCCGGCTTTAGGGAGAACGAGCCCGGCAGCACGGAGCGCCGGTCCTCCACGCCGCAAGGGCGGCGCCCTCTCCTCCCGCGCCCTGCGCCAGCCGCACTCTATGGTCGCGCCGCGCTTCCGGGCGGGCATGGCGGGCGGCGGGGAGGAGCCCTTCGCGCCCTCGGCGCTGGGCACCAGGCCTCAGTGAGTGGGGGGCTGTGGGCAGGGCCGGCACCGGGAGCAGCACCCGGCCTGGGGGAGTGCCTGGCTTCTGAAAGCCGTTTGGTTTCGGTTGTGAAGTGGACTCCAGGTGGTCCCGTGACATAGATGCGGGCTCGCTCTCCTCCTTTTTCCCCTCTTTGAAGTCGTTCGCAGTGCTAATTGCGATATCTTCTTCTCCCTCCCCGTAGCTGGGATGCGGCGTATGAGAGAGAGCTGCAAGCTTTTCAGGAGACGGGAGACGCTGGGGAAATTTGGTAATTAAACCATCTCTACCTGAACGTGCCTGTTTGTTTCTAAAGGGGACGCTGCCAAAATGCGTCCTCCGGGTCGGTGAACAGCTCTGAGTGTTGGCAGTGGGAAGGGGATGTCAGTCTTGGAGCCACCCGTTCCTCTCCTGACCGGCTTTGTAGTGTAAATCGATACGTTGTGCTTACACAACTGTCCTGGCAGACAGCGAGCTGGGAGGTATGGTCTGTTGTACTCAGAAGTGTTCATTGTATCACTGAGTTCTGATGTAAGTAGGCAAGTTGCCAGCACTGGCTTCTCATACAACATATAGAGGGCTTTGCCTTCCAGAGGTGGTGTTTCAGTGATAGTGCTTGAACGGAGCTTTTAAGCAGGAGGAGGACTGACTTTTTATGTAGTCCAACAGTGCAATGGGGAATGGCTGGAAACTGAATGAGGGGAGATTTAGATCAGAAGTTAGGAAGAAATCATTCACTCAGAAGGCACTGAGGCCCTGGCACTGCTTGCTGAGCTGTGGGTGTCCCATTCCTGGAGGTGCCCGTGTCCATGGATGGGCCCTGAACAGCCTGAGCTGTCAGGGGCACCCAGTCCAGTGTAAGGAATTGCAGCTCTGTAACCTTTAAGGTCTCTTCCAAGCCAAGCCATTCTGTGGTTTGGTTCATTTAAACTTAAGCAGATATGAGTATGTCAGTTGTTAGGCAAGTGCTTCAATAAGAAGGGCTCTGCAGAAGCTGGGGAGCAAGGAAATACATTTGCTGTGTTGACTGTGTGTCTTTGCTAGCTTGATTACCTGAGCCCTTGTTCCTAATAGGTTTGGAGAAGAAAGCATGGTTCGCATAATCAGATGGTTGGAGAAACAAAAGGTGCCCCTTGACAGCTCTGTGCTTGACATTGGAACTGGGAATGGTGTTTTACTGATTGAATTGGTTAGTATATTCTGCTTTTGTAACAGAGTCAGTGCTCAGAAGTCAGTTCTCAGTTCTTGTCCCTTCCTCAGTTCTGACAATAATACTTTGATGCAAAAAAACGATCAAAACCAAGTAGTTTGTGTAAATGCTTTGAAAAGTTGGTAGCACCTCAAGAAGCATCCGTTTCTGCTAGGGTGGAAGCCCCTTAGCAGACAGGTTTTGAAGTGTTATGGTGATGTTATAGAGTGATGCAAGGTGATTTGCAGCTGCAGTAATCCTTTCATGGTTTTGACTGATTCCTTTGCTATGATATTACTGCAGAATTGGTAAAGAAGGAAGCTTTGTTGCTGTAGTAGTTCCTATTTCCAACATTCTCCATTGGTTCCATTAGTTACAACAGAAATTAAATGGAAGTCAAGGTTGGGTTTATAGTGCATAGTTGTTTTAAAAAAAACATGGGCTTTGATTTTAGAAGTGTTTAAAGCCTACGTGGGGACTGACTGCCTTGTTGTAGTGGCAATTTAAAAACTATTAAACTGCTGTAAGAGCAGATGAAGGGTATTCACCACCCAAGTGAGGGTGTCTGCTAGTAATTGAACCAGCTCTGTCAAGGAGGAGCAGGAGGCTGCTTGTGAGTACCACCTTCAGGACACTCATCTGACTCCAGAGTTATGTTTGGCACTTGAGTGAACGATCCCTTCCTGTCCGTATGGAGTCAGGCCATACAGGTTTAGCAGCATTTAATGTTGTTTATCCTTAAACTTTCCTTCTCTGCCCCAGAGACTATAGGAGTGAATGGAAACTCCCTGAAGTGACTCAAGCTCTTCGTTTCCAAACAGAGGAGCTGTTGTGGAAACTACGTTTCCACCCCCAGGCCTTCAGCAGAGGCATCTCAGGAAGCTTGGTTTGTTCTTGGAGCTCTGGGGAGGAACGTGGGCAGAAGCCTAAGCAATATGCTGTTCTTCATCAAATGCAAACAACACAGTCTTTGTGTTTAGCTGAAATTAGTCCTCAATTAAGAACAGCTGGCTAGCACTGCGCTCACTGCTAGGAGGAGGAAGGACTTTTAAAAAACGTAGTTCTCTTTGTTGTTGAGGTATTAGCCTTTGGAATAAGTAGACAGGTAGCAGATTGCTGAATGCTAGTTGAGGTCCTTGGAATTCAAAAACAACAACCTCTCCCCTCCACCATTCTGCCTGCAGCTGCCTGTAAGGCCATAGCTCTTCAGAGCTCTTCCTGCTAGGTTTGAATCCAGCCAAATTGGCTGACCCACGTGCTGCCAGATCTGCTCCTACCTGGGAATGCAAATATGTTACCACCCTGCTCCCAGGTACCCAGATCCAGCTGATGAGAGGCGTGTGAGCCCATCTGCTTTGCAAAAGGGTTGCTGGGCTGTCACTGCCTGAGCTGGATGAACTGGGTTATCATTATCATTAGTTCAAAGTCAGCAGAAAAGTCTCTATGTGCTCTTCTGTGTGGTTTGTAACCTGCCTGATTATCAGTGATAGAAAGACCTCACTGCATGCAAATAGTTGCACTGAGATAGACATTAGCATGAAAAATCAGAAAAACAGAAGTTTTACAATGGCTTTCTGTATTAATAAAATATATTACATATATTTGCTCTTAGAATTTAGGCTGTAAGCTGAATAATTGCTTGGTCTCATGTATGTTAAAGAGGTTTTCTTATTTTGAAGCATCTGGCATTGGCATGTTCTCATCACAGAAAATTCCTGGTTTGGAGGTTACTTTTGGTACAGATAAGAGCTTATTTCCCTTCGGAGTTTTTGAGAGTTCTGCTCAGTTTCCCACTTGTTGACATCAACCAGCTTTCAGTCAGCAGTTCTTCTGATGAGGTAGCAGGCAGATGGGGTTACTGCAGTCCGTTCACTTGGCTGTTTAGCTCTGGTGGTGATAACGGAAATAAAAATGAGAAACAAAAGCAGAAGTAAAGGCTCTGAGTTGTTTTTTTGGTGTTTTTTTTTTTTTTCTTCTCCTCATTAAGAGGGGGAAGGATGAATTATAGGGCACTGGAATAGACCTGGTGAACAAAAAATCTGCTAGCACACTGACTAAGATTCTCTGCTTCTATCTAGGCAAAAAATGGCTTCACTAACCTCACTGGGATTGATTACTCACCTTCTGCAATACAACTTTCAGAAAAAGTAAGGGAGAAAGAAGGGGTGTCTAACATTAAATTACTGGTAAGTGTTGAGGGAATCTTCATTAAGGAAATTGAATGCAACTGACCCCAAGGTTAAGTGACCTACTTGATATTCAGGAGCACTCACTGTAATATATTAATGATGTATTTTGAAATTCATTTGTATTTTATAGCTGATAAGAGAATTCTAACCAAATAAGTCTGTGTTTACAGGAAGATTTGTGGTTATCTTGTTGTTTGTAGCAGTCAAAAGCTGTCCGAAGAGCAGATAGCCACTTGACAAGCTCTGTATTTAAGCTGATATGCTTTGAATGTTAGCTTTAAGGCAGAAGACTAAATCCTCATGGGAAGGAATCCCTGCCAGTAGCTGTGCAGCAGGGAGTTTGGGAGACCTTGTTTTAGCAGGGAGGGACCAATTGACTCCTAGAGATCCCTTCCAGCCACAGCCATTCTGTCACCAGTGTTTCTCTGCTGTGCTTTTCCCCGCCAGCTCTGTATCCCTATGATGTCTCTATTCTTGTATCTCAATTGTGATCTCTGTAACAGGCACCATCTTCTGTATTTGTACAGGGCCCAGTACACGGCGCCTGGAAAACCAGAGATCAAAGTACAAATGATGATTTGAAGAATGAACTCCCAAATTTGTTAGCTTGAGCTTTAGATGAATAGTTATGTATGTGGGCTTTATAGGAAATAGATTATTATGTCATAGGTAGACAACAAAGAAGCTGATGTGGCATTGTAACTTTGGCTTACCCTTTCC